AGAAACAGAGAAACATTGATTCAAGAAACATCAATCAGTTGCCTCCCATGCCCTGACCGGGTATGTGCCCTGACTGGGAATTGAACCTGCAACCTTTAGATGCATGGGATGACACTCCAACAAAATTAACCACCTGGCCTGGGTATGTATGTATGTATGTATTATTTTAGAAGACTATTGCTTTAGAACCACTGCTTTATTCTCAATAAAACATGGTGAGGTAGGTGGGAGGTTGGAGGGGTAGGTGTCATTATTTTATTTTTGTTGTTGTTGTTTATTTTTTAGAAGAAAGGAATGTAGAGGGGTCAGCAATCTCCCGGGTATAAAGACCAAGGGCTGGAAATAAGGTCAAAGCTTTGGTGAGAGTAAAGTAAGAAAGGATAGAAAAATAAAGGGAAGAAAAAAAAAAGAGGGCTCAGGAAAGCAAAGGAGAGGGAAAGGAAAGGCATGGATTATAGGGAGTGGACAATGATGTTACCCAGGATCCCAGGGTGCCCGTCACCCCTCTGCTTGAAACTCTCCTCCAACACCAGCCCATGCTGGCCCCCGTGGAGCCCACCAGATGTCAGCGTGGGGAACTCCAGATGGCCTCTTCTCTTGTTTCTGGGGTTGTTCCCTGGGCCAACCCTGAAGCCCCTCTTTTGCTGCCATTTAAATTTTTTCCAGTTTTTCCCAGGTTGCACCTTACATACCAATACTACATGGTTATTAAATTATAGGAAGTGATGATAAGTGAAAGGGCATATATACCATCCATTGACTGAACAGGCCCCTAACCTTCCTTTTCAAGTCCAATAACTATGGCTGGTGACCCCTCTTGATAACCTATTAGATAGCTCTTTGTGGAGGATCAGAATTTGTTTCCCTGAATTTTCACACTTTGGATGTGGTTCAAGCAGTTAGAGTCATAGAGAACAAGTGGGCTGTCATGGGAACCTGAGACTTTAATCTTCTCTTGTTTGTCTGTTTCAGCCTTTCTCTCCTGCTCTGTGGTGTACAGCTTGCCTCTCCTGGACCTGATGCTTTGTCACGCTCCTCTGAATGCATTTAAGTCTAGTTTTATTTCTTTGGATGTGGTCCCAGGACTCCAGAAAGAATTTGAATAGCTTCACTGGGCACTTGTGAAAACTCCCTACCACAGAGCATTAAAGGATAGTTTTAGCAACACCCCATATGCCAGAAACTCCAGCATTGTTATCTTGTCAAACCTTTAGGTGAGAAAATGAACATGAAGGCTTTACCTCTGATATTCTGGAGATCCATTTTGCAGAGGTTACTCGATTCTTTAAGGCTTCTCTTATCTAGATAGTTGATTAAAAAATTAAGAATTAAAAGATGATAAGTAGTCAATGTTTTGGGGCCTGGCTAATATTGCAGCAGGGAAGTGTGTTACCAGGGCCTGTTGGAGGAATATGGAGGGATTAGTAACTTGGTGAAGTGGTCTGGGAGAAGGTGGGGAGGTAGGAGACATAAGCAAAGTGGAGCTAATATAGGAGGTTTATAATCAGGGCCTTGAACATGAACTCAAAGGCTAAGAAATACAGTTGGCCACCAGTTTGAGGATTCTTAACTTTGGGACTATTTTGGGGGGAGTACTTGAAGAGTTGAACATTTCCCACATTTTTTCAATTATTTAAACTTCCTTTTTTTAGAGGCCTTAACCATGGTTTAAAGGAAAAAAAGGAAGGAATTCTACACAACATAACAAAGACCTGTGGAACAAAGAAAATAATAATAAATAACAACTGGGGAAATGAATACTCCAAGATCATGTAGCATGCAGTCAGTCAACTATTAAGAGACAGAGCCAGCGGGAGTTGAGTTCCCTGACTTCAGATGATCCTGTCCTTTTCCCTAACTCTCTCCTACTGGACAAGGCACTCTCTTGTTATTTCTACTCCCTCTCTCTTTTTGCTATATAAAGTGTTACTCACCTTCCAAGGCCTGGTAGAAGTTTTGTCCTCACAGTTTATATATACCGAAGCCCTCTAGCTCAGACTGACTTCACCCTGCCCTGAAAATGTAGTGTTTTTGTCAAACATGGCTCCAAAGATGTAAAAGCATTGCCTGGGCTGGGATTCCATGTACTCAAAGTCCATTGCATATGTACTAGTAAAGACATACTGGAGCCTCTAGTACAGAGGTTCCCCACCTGTGGGTTGTGGCCCCTTTGGCGGTTGAACGACCCTTTCACAGGGGTCGCCTAAGACCATCCTGCATATCAGATACTTACATTACGATTCATAACAGTAGCAACACTACAGTTATGAAGTAGCAATGAAAATAATTTTATGGTTTGGTCACAACATGAGGAACTGTATTTAAAGGGCCAGAAGGTTGAGAACCACTGCTCTAGTATTTTTTTTTCTCTTATCTTTTTTCAATTCTATGTTTCATAGTGTGTATAATACATACCTTGTAAATTCATAACAAGCACTGGGGATATGTGCTTACTGGTTTTTACTGATTCTAAAAGTGTAAAGACTACTGGTATACACAGTAGTGGCCTCTTACCTGTGGTTTTGCTTTCCATAGTTTCAGTTACCCACAGTCAACCAAGGTCCAAAAATATTAAATGAAAAATTCCAGAAATAAACAATTTATTCCTCTTAAATTGTGTGCTGTTCTGAGTAGTGTAATGAAGTCTCCTGCCATTCTGCTCCATCTGCCTGTCTCTGTGCTATGTACATTATCTACCAGTTAGTCACTTAATCATGTCGATCATCAGATTGACTGTCACAGTATCACAGTGCTTGTGTTCAAGTAAGCAGTATTTTACTTAATAATAGCCCCAAGAGGCAAGAGCAGTGATGCTGGTGATTCAGATATGCCAAAGAGAGCCATAAAGTGTTTCCTTTAAGTGAAAAGGTGAGTATACTATAATAAGGTAGTTGAAATAAAATAAAAAGATTAAATGAGGTCATAAGGGAAGGGACCAAATCCAGTGGGACAGTGTCCTTATAAGAAGAAGACACACCAGGGATGTGTGCCAGAGGAAAGACCAAGTGGAGACATAGCAAGAAAGCAGCTCTCTGTAAACCAAGGAGAGAGTCCTCAGGGGAAACCAAACCTGTCAACACCTTGATCTCAGACTTCCTGTCTCCAGAGCTGGAAGATTAACACAGGTACCCTGTGGTCTGTAATCAGTTTCCTGTCTCCCTTTCATAGTTATAAGGAAAAATAAAATAATTTGTGTTCAATAAGTAGAATGTATTGAGATTAAAAGTATGCACTTTGGGGTCAAACAAACCCATATTTAAAATAAGAAAGAAGAAAAAGAAAGAAAGAAAGAAAGAAAGAAAGAAAGGAAGAAAGAAAGGAAGGAAGAAAGAAATTACATAATTTTTGTTATAGTATATTGTTATATTTGTTCTATTTTATTATTAGTTATTGCTAATCTCTTACTGTGCCTAATTTATAAATTAAACTTTATCATAAATTAAAATAAATGTGTACATGTAGGAGAAAAACGGACTATAAATAGGAATACATATTATCCATGGTTTCACAAATCCCCTGGGGATCTTGGAAAGTATTCTCCATTAATATGGGGGGACTACTGTATAACTTTTTGTCAATTAAATATAATACCTTTCAGTATTTACCTTTTACATTATAATTTTAAAGATATTAGGTTTTGCTTTTGATGGACGTGTCCATGTCTTAGAGGTTTTAGCACACTTCATAACACCTAATACAGGTCCACTAATAATGTTACTGATGCTCTGGCTACAAATACTAGTTTTGGCTTTAGATTAATTAAAAAACATAATAGCCCTAATTGGTTTGGCTCAGTGGATAGAGCGTTGGCCTGCGGACTGAAAGGTCCCAAGTTCGATTCTAGTCAAAGGCATGTACCTTGGTTGTGGGCACATCCCCTGAAGGGGATGTGAAGGAGTCAGCTGATCAATGTTTCTCTCTCATTGATGTTTCTAACTCTCTATTCCTCTCCCTTCCTCTCTGTAAAAAATCAAAAAATAATTTAAAAAACCAAAAAAACAATAATATGATCTACAACTATATAACTTCAGTGCTTTCTATGTGTCTTCCCTTGCAAAATTGCTTTTGTTCTTTATCATAATTTAGCAAAAAAGGCAGGGGAAGCATAATTTATTTCTGCATTCCCTTTCAGAAATCTGAGGTTCATGAGAGTTAAAAAACTTCTCAGTTATAAGCAACTAATACAAACAAATATCAAGATTAATAGACAAATAGTCAAACTGTCACCTCTGAATATCAGGTTATGGTACCCTCATGAGAAAATGAAAGGACCATTGTGAAATGCCTTTTGTTTTTTAACAAACCTTGCATATTAACTTGTTAGTAGAATAGCATTGATAATATAATATAATTAATTAATTAAACAGTAAATAATAAACCCTGCAGTGAAGGTGTTTGCATCTACATGAGGGTTATTTGCTTTTCTCATTTCAAGAAATAGTATAGTACAATGGAAAAAGAGTGATGTTAGAGACCTAAGCAAATATTTGGTGTTTTGCTCATATGTTTAGGTTTTATTTGTTTTCACCACCCACTACATATACATTCTTTGTACTAGGAGAATTCCCTTCCTTGAATCCATTGCTCTTCAAGGTAGAAGACATGAACTCACTTTCTCAGCCTCCCTTGCAGCTAAGATGCAGCCATGTGACCTGGGCTCAGCCAATCAGACCTGAAAACTCAAAAAGCAGGTGCCAGTGGCCCTCAGCAGGCAGGATAGAGGTGATCCCTGAAACAGCAGTAGCATCAACTCTAGTTCAGCATCCAAGTCTGGCATTGGTTTTGGTGAGCTTTGCTTCTGTGTCCAGCAAAGTTAGAAACAGGTTGCAGGTGGAGCAGTTCTATGCTATGAATCGGGGACTATTCCTGGTGTGTAGACCCCATGTGTCCAAGCCAAAGAGATATCTTCCCAAAGATGATATTGTGAGATTTAATAAATTCCTTTCTGCTTCAACGAGTTAGTTTCTAAAGCAAGCTACTTAATCATTGAGTCTGTTTCCTCATCCATAAAATTGAAAATAGAAATACCCAATATTGTTTTCAGGATTAGAGCTAATGTACATAATATGGTTAGCCCCATAAGAGCTTGAAAGATGGCTGATATTACTTGCATCATAAAGAGCAGTGATGTCCTGTTCAAGTGTCTGTACAAATAATTGAGATGAAAGACCCTGAATAGGTCGACTTTACAAATGAACATTTCAGGGCCCAGTATTGTTAATGCAGAAAAACAAAAATAAAAACAAAAAAACAAGAAAAATTAATGGTACCTTTGGATCCAGGATTGTTCCAAACACCAAGATGAAGAAGCCCTGAGAAAGAGAGAAGAGTGAAGAAGAGCAATTTACAAAGTAATGTTGATAATACCGGCACTCATTATTGATTCCTATCCTGAAACTGATAAAACTAACTAAAAAACAAAATAAAACAAAAATGCAGACTATATGATTTAATGTGTGACTCATTTTAAGATCACAATACCTATATTCTTCCACTCAACAAATATTAATAGAGTGTCTTCCACGTGCCAGCCATGTTCTAGATACTTGGGGTACTTCAGAAAGCCTAACAGACCAAGGTCCCTAATTAATATAAACATATTATAAGAATTTATTTTTAATTTGGGCAAAATAAAGTGTTTTTTATTTATCAGGAGCTGTGCATCTCATCAAAATACAATGGTCCAAGCAATAGCCAGGAGATGTTAGGCGATGGATGGCAGCCTTACAATCCCTGAGTAATTAGTAATGAAAGAAATTTCCACAGAAATAAATAAATAAAAAGCATCCATGCTCAGCTTTATTTAACACCCTCAACCTCCCTCCCCCATCCACAACCAAAAAACTGTTATAAAATTTGCAAAGAAAAATTAGGTACATGGATCATCAGAAAAACCAAGACACCAAACAGATTGAGTTTCTAAGCACATAATAGGTGCTCATAAATAAGTGATCCAAATATAATATAGAGAGTATTAATTAGCTCTCATATCTCTCATCGTCCATAAAAAATATAATGATGGAGGCTGGTCCTCCATCATTATAGTCCATTTGAGGTTTCAATCTTTTTCATATGTAGCGGTACAAAACCACTTGGGAAGAAGGAAAAGTATTCATCCTATTTTGCAGATAAGGAAAGGGAAGCTCAGAGACTCAACTTTGAAAATGTGATAGACAGCAATATTGATCAGACAAAATTTCTCTTAAAAGTGTGAATACTCAGCTCTTTGCTCATCTGAGAAGAGAAATAAGATAATGACCTTTGATTTAGGCACCTTATTAAGTTGCTCTGATTGCATAATCAAATGTGAACCCTTACCCAGGCAGAGGCCTGTCGAGGCACATGGGTGAAATACAAAATAATAAAGATGTTATAACCAGGTGGTCATCAGCAAGGACGATACCAAACCCACTGTGCCATGATTTGCAAAAGCTTAGCTGAGCAGTGGAGGACTTAACAGGGACCAGTGCCTGGATGGCCATGCAGCTAATCCATTCCTCCAAACATACTAACTATACATCTCCATTCAGCCAGTACAGCAAGTGCTCCAAGCTTGGAGTGTTTCTCTTAGAGTGCTCTTTTGTCTGACACTCTTAGCTGTCCATCTATAAACCAAAAGTAGGTTCTCACAAGACACCGAATCTGCTTATGCCTTGATCTTGGACCCCCCCCAGCTTCCAGAACTTTGAGAAATAAATTTCTGCTGTTCATAAGCCACCCAGTGTTATATGGGTCTGCAAATCTTACCCAGCCCACAATTATACTCAGTAAATACAAGAGAAGATACCAACTAGAAGTGGTACCTTGACCAAGTAGCATTCAATGCAGCAACTGACTGTACAGGGTGGGGCAAAAGTGGGTTTACAGTTGTTCATATGGAACACAATACAATAACTAATAAGTGATAATATAAGGACAAATTCTTTGTTTCAAGTACTCAGTTGTAAACCGGCATTTGCCCCCACCATGTATAATCATCCTTCCTTAGTAAAAGGGGTGGTTGAGCTTAAAAACTAATGGGTGTGCTCCCACCAGCCTAGGACCAGGAAGCTTTCAAAGAGCCTTTCTCCTACACCTCTGGATCTCCTGGGATATTTATGATCTTCCTTCTCCGCTTGCTCTATCAGCCTCAGTTGCCCCTCATCTCGGTTCATCCTAACACTCTGCTTGTCCCACTTCTTCCTCTCAGTAGTTTCTGTCTCCCACCTCTCTGGACCTATGGCTCTCCTTCTCTCCTCCCAAGGTGACCTTGATCCACATGGTCTCACCATGGTTAATTTAAATCTAGCAACATGACATTGCTGACCATGGAGTCAGGAAGAGATGGGCACATCCATTCTCTCATGTTTCCACCAGACAGATACAGCAGATTTAAATAACCTCACAAGTATAGGAGAATGTATGGAAAACAATTAGGAAGGGATGCATTTTGAGGATGTTTGGCCTTCCATTTAAATCTAATTTATTTAATTGTAAGTCTACAGAATGTAATGATGTCTGTGTTTACACCACCTTGAAAGTTTGTTGAAAATATAGTAGTTAGCTCTCCTGATCCAGTACAAGCCAGCTCCAGAACACCACTGCCTCATGCCTGCCCTGGAGTCTGGCCTTGACCCAAATCCTGCTCTCAGTTTCTCACTGGCCCATCGGTATTGGTACTGAGATGGGCCCCACCCTCTTCCTTGCCAGGTATCAAGGCAGAAACTGAGTTTAAATTACAAACTAAGTTGATCCTGTTATGATAGGGAAAAATACAAGTGCTCACAGGCTATTACAAAATGAAAACCACAGTCAAGATGGCCCAAGGGAGACAGGAAAGGAAAATGTGAAGACTAAGACATGAACTCATTAAGTACATGACAAATAGCCACTGGATATGCTGAACAGAAATTTAGGAACACTAGTTTTTTATCCCAGTTCTATCAGTGATGAGCTGCATAAACATGGGTAAGGGAATTGATAATTATTAAGAGCTATACAAAAAGTGTAGGGTACAATGAATATATTCTATGGAAACGCACAAAAGCAACAATGTTACCATTGTTCTCTAAGACATTAAAATGTCTATTGTAGATAAAATCATGTACATTTAAATTTTAAAAGAGAAATATGAAAAAATATTTGACATAAAATCTATTATTTTTAAATAAAGAAACATTCAGGAAAATAAATATTTTAGAAGTCTATAAAAATAAAAGCTTTCTTTTTAATTAGTTGTTATTTACATATTTAGCATTCAATAAACTTTGACTCATTAGTGCACTGTGACAGAAAAAAATGAAAAAGAAATTTCATTCAAGAAGGGAATTGTTGACTGTTGAATAATATCCAGCCATTAAAGAAACATAACCTGGAAAAATGCTAGGATGTATTTTTAAGTGGTAGAGTAAGTTTCAAAATGCTATGCATTGTTTTTTTAACTCATATTATGTGAAAATATGCTTATATGTGAGTATAGAAAGTTTGGCAAGGATGTACATGAAACTGTGAACATTTTTTAATTCACAGAGGTGAGATAAGAGGGGAAAGGACAAGGGAAATTATCTTTAATACCATTAAGATGGTTTCCAGTGGTAACTAAACATTCTAAATGGAATAAAATATGAATGTGCATATGTAAATAGTCCCAGTTACATACCTAGATTTGGGGGGAAGTGGTATTGTTTCATTTCTAAACTATTTAAAACTCAGTCTACTGTTAGGCTACTTGGTCTTGTCCCATTCACTATTTTATTTCATTTTCCAAAAACTACTATAAAGTAAGCAGATTGTGCTCCTTTAATAAGTGGGAAAATATGGCTTGGAAAAGTTAAGCAAATATCCCAGGAGAATGTTACACATTAGCAAATGAGAGAGTCAAGATTTGAATCCAGGCCTTTCTGAAACAAAAGTGTATTTCCTGACTCAGTAGGCTATTCCAAATCCACTGCCTTTTATAAATAAATGTGATGGCACACCCTCCTGATCACAAAACTTCTTTCCAAATTCTCTCACTTTGGACTTGGCCAGAAGCATCTGGACTTACCTGGAAAGCATTAAGCAAGGAGAAGAGAATGTGGAAGAACAGGGAGCTATTGTCGATGACCGTGGCTATTCCGAATCCCCAGGTCAGGCCCAGCAGTGGTGTGAGGATGGCGATGTTCTTGCTGATTCTCACGATGGCTCTCACCTCCTGGAACATGGAACTGCCAATGGTAGCTCGCCGGGTTTTGACAATCACCAGTGTCACCGTGATCAGGTTTACTACCACAATGGCCAGCGCTGGGACCACAAAGGCCAGGAGGGCCTTGGTCATGTCCCAGTTGAGCCAGCAGGCCTCAGGCCGTAGGTAGCCTTTGCCAGGCTCAGTGGCAGCCACTGTAACAACAGCAATGACCAAAGGGCAACCGTATCCCACGGAAAAGAGAGATGCCACCAGGACTGACTTGGGCAGTGTATGGAAAACAATCAGGATTCCATAGAGGATGAGAAGTGCCTTGGCGAGCATCCAGAAAAACACAGCAAGGTAAAAGAAATGAACAAAAAACGTCGCCGCCACGCATCCATTGTGGTGTGTCCTTGGACCACTAAGAAAGGAAGCCACGATGAACCACGCATCAGCCATCAGCAAGGTAGCCGCGACGTTGGCAATACACAAGTGGCGTAAGTAGGAGATCTCTGTCTTCGTCACTCGGCTCCAGACCAAGGCCTCGATGGACAAGCAAAGGATCAAGCTGCAAATGGAAACGCCCAGGCCTATGTACGTGATGTAAGTCAGGATGGGGCTCTGCAAGGTGTGTGGTGACATAAGAATGGAGAAGGAGGTAAACAGCTTGCTTGGCCTACATTTGCAAACAGCTTGCTGGGAGGTTTCCTGGATCATTTGGCAGGCGTGCTGGTCCCATCTGCTCTCTAACGAGTGCCAGCCAACACACTGTGTCCTGCTGTCCTCTGAATTCCTGATCTTTTCAAAAACCAGTGAGATCCTTTTAAGTTCCTTGGGCAGAATGACAGACAGGACAAGTCCGTTCACGGTGACCCTTTCCAGAAGACTGGCCTCTAAGATGGCTCCAAGGGTTGGAAATGCAATGCTGACGACCTGAGAAGAAGAGCGCACCTTCTGGGCTTCATCTCTGCTGATCAACACCCTCCCAGTGACACTATTGCGGGTGTCATTGACTCTCATGGAGAAAGTTAAATTCTTTCCATTGCTATCTCCAGATATGGAGGTGCACGTAGTATGAATAAACACATCCGGTATGTCAATGGGATATTTATTTATGAGTAGCTTTCAGACTGGTGCAGCCACTGTGGAGAACAGTATGGAGTTTCCTCAAAAAACTAAAAATGGAATCCCATTTGACCCAGTGATCCCACGTCTAGGAATATATCCCAAGAAACTAGGCTTTTAAAAAATATCTTCCCATTCGCCCCCCGCCCCTCCCGCACCCATATTCCCTCTGAGATGGTTCCATGCTTCTATGTTGCTGAGTCTATTTTGCTCATTAGCTTATTTTGTTTTTAGATTCTACATATGAGTGAGACATGTGATACTTGTCTTTTTCTGACTGGCTTATTTCACTTAGCATAATAATCTCCAGGTCCCTCCATGCTGTCTCAAAGGATAAGAGATCCTTCTTTTTACTGTTTCATGGTATTCCGTGGTGTGAATGTACCACAGCTTTTTTATCCACTCATCTGCTGATGGGCACAGATGGTATAATGTCTTAAGCATCTTCCTTGAGGCACTGGGCTGTTTCCGGATCTTAGCTATTGTAAATTGCATTGTTATGAACATAAGGGTGCATATATTCACTGGGTCAAATGCAGCCCCATATTTAATTTTCACTTTTATAAAGCGTGGTCCTTCAACCAGTAACATAGGCATGCCCTGGGAACCTCTTAAAGATACAGAATCTCAGGCCCTACTCCAAACCCTGTGAATCAGAATGAGCACCTTAATGAGTTCCCCAGGTGACTCACATGCCACTCAGGTTTGTGTTGGAGGATAGAACTACCAGGGAGCTGCCTTCCCCCTGCTCATGTGATGCCTGCCTCACAGGAATGCAGCCTTCACCGTGTTCATTTCCATCATCTGTTCCACTTCACACCTGGGTGACACTAGCAATTTGCCTGCCCTGCCCAGAGCACCCACTATATAATTAATATCTATTAAACCCCAACTGTGTGCAGGGCATTGTAAAGGAACATGACACACTGGAAGCTGACCCCAGAGGGTGGACCTCCTTTTTCTTATCTTCTACTTTGAAGGTCAGACACAAAGGAAGCATGTCCAATTCCATTTCACATTTCTGCAGCAGACCTATCTGGCTGTTTTTTGGACACCCAGTTGTGGTTTTTTCCCCCCATTTTAGCAACCTGTTCTGATTCACAGATAAATGTCTTCCTCTCTGCAGGACCTAGAAAAGCTCTTGGAGATTCACAGTAGCCAAAATATACATGGAAAAAGCTTGCTTCAATGTCCAATCCAGCACCTGGTAAGTGCTCTCTTTAAATACTTGTTGACTGAATGTATTCACTTTTTTCTTCAATGAGGATTTATTTTAAACATTTACCAGGTAATGGAAATACTGAAGTGAAAGACATGGTCTCCTCAGACCCTCAAAAGCTCCAACTAAACCTGCATTCCTTTCCCATTCCCCCCTCCTCCCCCCTAAACCCCCCACAAATGTTCAAGGCCACTCACCTTCATCTTTGCTTCACCCACATCTGTCGACAGCATTGTCGATATGTTGTGTAGTAGCTGCACGATGACAGCAATGTTTCCTGGTATCCGGGGAGAACGCTGAATGTTCTTAACAACACAGGACAAATCCTGCGGACACTTCCGCATCAACTTATCTGCAATGGTTTCGGACTTTCCAGAATATTCATTTATGTGTATACTACTTCCAAATGATGGACCTGCACTTAAATCCTCCTAAGAAATGGCAAAAAGAAAGTTTGTTATCATGTTACGTTTGTTTTCAATGTAAACGTACCTTTACTACAATGTAGGACAGCCTTATTACACAATTGTATATTGCATAATGCTTTTCTATTTTACATTGTCAAGGTCACATCTGCTGTGGAACCACCTGCCCAACACCAAGGTGTATGAACAGCTGCCTACTCCTGAACCCCCTATATCCAAACAGCAATTGTTATCTTTAGCACACCCCTCCACACGCCTTCTGTGTACATATACTGTACACATGGGTACATTTCTCGTGCCATTTAAACTTACTTAACTCTGGTGCCGTGTCACATATAGAAATTGTTTGATATTTGCAACCATAGTAAAACAAAGAGTTATATTTTGATGTTTATTTTATGTATTTAAATGCCATTTAACAAAAAAAAATCAACCAAAAAAATGAGTTCGTGTGTCACCT